GTTTCATGCCGTATCCAGACCAGCCAGGAATATTTATATAGGAACCAAAAACCTACCTCGGACCGTGGAGTGGACATCGCAGCAGTTTCGCGGCGGGGTGTTCGTTGGCTTGCCGTTTTTTCGAATAATGGGACCAATGCGGACAACGGTATCTAAATTCATTTATTTATTTTGAAAATATACCCTTACACTCTGGCCAGTGTCGTTTCTTCCCCCCCCCCCCCCGTTATACGGCATAATTTAGATTTAGTTTTTTAGATTCCAAGCGTAGCGAGGAAACTATTGGTTTTGTTAAGATATTTATTTCTTTTTTTATCTTTTTTTCTTGTTTTTTCTTTTTCTTGTTTGTTCTAGTCTGTAGACACGTTTTTTCTTAGTAAACTTACTCCGATTTTTTATAGCAAAGTGTAGTAACTAAAAGCTCAAGTTGTCTCGATAGTACTTTTGAAAGGTAATTTGATTTTCGAAGTCATTTTTTAAATAAATTCATTTAAGTAAGAAAAAACGTAGAAAAACGTACAATTTTTACGATTTCATTATTTTATAAAAACACGGACGACGTTTTCTTCTAGAAAAAATAATTTATTCGAAAAATCACAAAATATCTTTCTTGTTGCCTTTTTGGTTTACTTTCTTACAGTATTATTATCAAAACTTTTGAGCCACTTTTGAACTTTTAAGGAATTTTAATTTTTAGTAGGTTTTTGCTGTAATTTAATTATAAATACACGTAGAGACTTGAACCATGGTAATAATATTTACATAGGACTTACCTAGACGTGATAAAATTTCCAAAACCATCGGAAAACTTTTTTTTTTAATTAACGTATTTTAAAATCATATTTAAATGAAAATCGCAAATATGATATATTACCGAACTGCGCTCGGAATCAAACAATTGTATATTGTTGCTTACAGATATAAATGGAATAACCTTATGTATCCAATCTTTCTAACTTCTCACTTACAACAGTGGCCGCTCCCATCCCCAGTATCAACTCTTTTTTTCTTTTTTGTAGTTTTAAGTCTAATTAGCGTTTAAGTTCTCACAATTTTGTATGATTTTGGCTGCATGCCCATTCGTGTACAATACACAAAGAACATATTTTTTTTTCAAACATATTTGTCTATTATTGTCATCCTGCCTTAGTGGTTTTTCACATACCAACGTATTCATTCCTCCTATTATTTGCTTTTTTTCTCGACCCACAATGGGATTTACCTAAACCCATGTGGACTCCGACCGTTTGTGGTGTCGGCCCATGGTTGGCGACCTAAACCCTGTCGTCACAGTATGGGCCCTTTACGCACGAGAAATGACGTTACGTTGTAAAGTGGCGACCTTCCGGGATAAGTTGAAAAAAAAATGTGTAGGTAATGAACCATGCGATTCGATAAAGGAATTTCTTATAATAATCTTTGGAATGATTGTCTGTTAGACGGATATAACAACCGGGCCCCGATTTTACGTAATTCACTATGGTAAATGGCCTCACGGAACTGATTACGCACCCGCAAATTAGCCGGGGACGTGATTAACGGCCAGCGGTCGTATAGTTTTTGTGCGGTATCGTAATACCAATGGGTGGTATTAATAAAAAGAAATGTTTGATAAGTTCACGTTCAAGTGAGTTTCTATCTGTTTTCTTTTTGCGTCTGTCTGTCCGTCCTATTCCGCCTGACATAGACCAAAGAATTATTGTTTATATAAATTTCGATGTACATGTAACATATATATATATAAAACATAGAGGGAAAAGGTATGATAGTCCTGTACGTAAAGCGACTGGTTGATAGTGTGTGCGGTGGTTGCACGTGCGGAAGACTAGTCTCCATCCGTGACCTAAATACTAGTGGGATAACACGGCTTCGTGGATAGGCATTTTAACATACTGATATACAATACACATTGCAGGCACTGTAGGTTGAGTAGTCACATAGGTATCAAATTATTCTTCCTTATTAGTTATAAGTTCAGCAGCAGCTTCGCGGTGAGATTTTCGTGAGCCCGCCGTTTTTCAGACAATGAGACCAATGTGAACAACGGTATCTAAATTTATTTATTTTGAAAATGTACCGGACTCTGGCCGGAGTCGTTTCCCCTCCCCCTTTATATTCATAACTTAATTTAGGTGTAGTTTTTTTTTCTTTTTGTTTTGTATGGTATCTTAATCTTGGGTTTACCACCATAACTAATAAATACAAATGTCAATGCTTCATATCAGCTTGAACAGTATCATTTTCAAAAAATCTTCCAATCAATCGCTTAGCACTCGTATTTCCGCAGGCGTGTGGAGTAGAGTAGAATGCACAAAATGATGTGACGCGCCCTTTACACACGAGACAAGGGGTTACGTTACTATTTATGGCTGCAAATGACTGATAGTACAGTAGAAGCGAACGCAAAAGTAGTAATAGCAGTAATAGCAAACATAACAATTAATAATATTATGGTATCAGTTGTCCAATGTTATAATACCTGTAATATTAACCAACGTTAATTTAATTTTGAATTATTTTTTTGTAATCATTATATAATGGATGACTCTTTTATTATGAACCAGCAATTTTCTTGGTGTGAATTTGATACCTTGTTTTTTCTTCTTTTTTTTTTATCATTATGGAATTATTTGAACTTTATTTCGACACTATTTTTAATTGTTTACCCCTACAGCTTATATCTCAAATAAATAACAAATGTTCGTAATTTTTATTTTAAATGTTGATATGCTTAACACTTATATCCGATTTATTGTTCATGAGTTTTAAGTTTAGGCCATAAAATTAGAAAAGAGTTATTAATTTTCCATTCAAAAATGGATGTGCAGTATATTAAACTTCCGAACTCTTTCAGTCTAAACTTTAAACTATTTATAACTCATAAACTCCGATTTTATTTTTAAAAAAAAAGGCCGAAGAAACCGTATTATAGACTTGTGGCTAATATAAAATTAGTTTGTTACACTAGTCGTTTCTATGCAAAATACACAATTTTGTATCATACACTTATACATCGAATAATACGATGGCAACTAACAAGTTCACCACGATATATTACTGTGTTCAAGTAGCATATAATATAAATCTGGACAGTATAAATAAAGGTATGTTTTATTAAAAATAATTCTTTAACCGACAATACGTATAGTAGTAATAGCATATAGGTTTGTTATAATAAAGGTCGATTATTTTACTGCTAACAATAACTATACTCTATTCAGATAGTAATAGAATTAAGTATGTATTATATAAAAGTTTATTACATAAAGTCGACTTTTTTACTACTATAAATTACTATACTCTATTCTGAATAACACTAAACCACTTTCACGCATGTAGAATGATTCACCGAGCGAACCTTTTAGTTCATATAGTTTAGTATATATTAAGGTCGTAAACTATTTCTACTGCTAACTATTACTGATCGAGTGCAATAGAGCGTCAACTTTCTCACTAATCCGCGGACCAGGAATCGACGAAAATAAAAATTAATCAATTGATCAATTTTTTTTTTCTTTAACCAATAATTTGAACCGTGTGAATGAGTAAGTATAATTTGCGCTCTACTGCTCTGAGTAGATTAGGTCTACTCGGGGATTTCACTTTAAAAAATTTCGCCACGTGCAATACCTTATGCTTTTAAATAACTTCTAATACTAATTTGTTATCGTTGCCGAGATAAGGTGGTGGCGAAAATTGCACTCGATATAATATTATAGCTATATTACTTTAAAAAAAAAAAGTTTTAATGTCTTTAACGAAAAATAAATATCTAACTCGAAACAATCAAAAAACATAGTACATATATAACGTAGTACTTCTATTTATAGTCTAGTAAAAAAAGAGTCAAACAATTTAAAAAAAAAATCTGTCATAGGATAATAGGGATGGATGCAGCCACTGTTATAGGTGAGAATTTGGGAAGATATTAGAGGGGAAATCTAATGTATTACATCTGTAATCACCGATAAATCATTGCTGACGAAAGAACAATTATAAACGGAGTTAAGTTGATAGTGTTGCTTTTTCAACAATACCTATATAAGTTTATCATATTATGGTGAAATAATTACATATGCATTTTATATTTTCTTTGATATTTATTTAATATTGTACTTATTTTTCCTTTTTTCCCATTTATTGGAAAAAATCCTGAGAAAAACCCTAAAGTACCTCCCCAGTCAGATTTACTATTAGAAAAAAAATGATAACATTGTAAATCGGAGCATAGTTGCTGGTAGAATATTTGTTCACAGGGAAAAAAAGGCTATAATATAGTTACCAATACATTTCTCGTTCCATTTATAATATAAAATTCCAGTGTTTAGAAAGTTCCTTTTTAAAAGGGCTAGATTTATGTTCATGTTCATCTTATTAAAACAGAACAAATTCCAGGCTCGTTCCGGAAACTAGTTTCTTTCCACGAATATAACGAAGGAACATTTTTCGTTCTTTAAATAAAATTAAAAATCATTAATTTGTGTATAATATCTTTACTTATATATGTATACATATGTATTTTTTTTTAAATTAAATTTTAATATGTTATCGATTCCATAAACACTATACAGATGTCCTTCATAGGAGACAAACCTATTTATTATAACACACGTTTATATACATAAACGAAAAAAATTCTGAAAATGCCAGCATCCGATAACCCGATATAAAAACAACTGCGAAATGGCATCTCAGTAAACCATTTTCATAACAGCCTGAAACATAATAAAATATCATTACCGAATTGGTAAAGTAAAAAAAAATAAATAGAAATATTTATAGCCTACGCGATAATATACGTAAACTATATCAACGTGGTAACATAAATTAATAAATACTATTAATTTTTTTTTTTTCCCCCCAATGTCTATCGACATACATAATAAACCTATAATATACAGGTGAACTACAAAACGGAGTTTATCAGCTGAATAAAAAAATGTAAAAAAAAGTCCCGACTGGTATTTATATAGTCACAATATTCGTCTCATATTAGGTACGTATAAACAGTTTTAATATTGTTCTCTCACTCGACCTTAGTGGTTACCTACTCGCCTAATTAAAATGACTATCGATTTCTACTACGATTCGTGGAGTCCGCCGTGCAGGACCGTGCAGCTGTTGGCGAGAATCCTAAACGTTCAGCTCAATCCCATTTTAACGAACCCTGCTAAGGGAGACACTCAGAAGCCCGAGTACAAACAAGTATTTTAACGTGATATACGTATATATTATATTAATGCTTGTCAAGACTATAGTGTAATCAATATTGTCTTCGCGTGGTTTTTTGATTATAGTTAAATCCGCAGCACACAATACCGACCATCGTCGACGACGGGTTCGTTTTGAGCGAAAGGTAAGTGTCGAAAATGTCCATTATGCGTTAAAAAAAAAAAAAAATTCATCTGCGATTATTTTTACGCTTAGAATAGCCGGTTAAATTTCTTTCACGCGAAATACCTGTTAAACCTATCCAAAGTGTGTAGTACGATTGTCTAACTTTATAAGTATCAAGAATAGTAATATTTGAGGCGGACGGATTTTCACCGTAATAGTGGAAAAGCATAATTTATTTTAACCCGCGTGACTACAGTCAGTTATTATTTTCGTCGTTGACCAGCACGTCCAACTGGAATAACTTTACATAGTTTAAAATATTGAACTTTGTTTTTTCACCGAATTAAGTTATATTTATATTTTTTTTATCCATTCTCACTACCTTAACTGAAGGGTCTTTACTCGAAATATTAATAATAATATTTATAATAATTATTATTTCGATTGAACTCGAACCATCGTTATCTATATGAGACTATAAAACAAATTGGTACAAACAAACTCATGTACTACCATCGTTATCAGCTAATTTTATTATCGCGGTAATATCGATATAATATAACTACATACATTCGTTATACGCAAAATTCATATTTTATAATATATAAAATAGGAACAGGCCGACACTTAAACCGAACAGTAGTGTCAAAAAAGTCATTTTTCGATTTTCTCAAGAATTTTTTCATCAAATGCGAAAAAAAAAACGAGAAAATTTACAAAATATAATAAATATAATCTTACGATTTTTTTTTTCTGTGGACAACTTTTCTACCAACTGCTCCAATTTTTAAAGATAGCAATGTTTCTGAAAGGAAATTTTACAGGGAAGGTACTTTAAAGAGGTCATTTTAGGATTGTCTCAGGAAATTTCCAGTAAATGTAAAAAGCCGGGATAAAACATGGGAAAACCAGGAAAAACATTGGAAAATTGGAAAAATCATCACAACATTAAATAAATATTATTAAAAAAAAGGATATAAAACCTATTTAATTATTTTACTATAAAAAGACATATTTATTATTGACAAATAATATCAATAGCATCAATATCAACTGAACTCCACTCAGAATCGTTTTTTCGTAAATAATGCTTACAGGTATACATTAAATTATCTATAACAGTGGCTGTACTTGTTCCCATTATCCTAGGATTTTTTTGTAATATGTCTCTAAAATATTATAAAATAAAACGTTTAAAAATTTTGCATTACCGACCGATACATTAGTTAATTGCACTATCAACTCGTGGTAGTCGGTAGCGAAAATCGACTTTATAACAGTATAGCATCTGTTGGAATATCAAACGAGGGTAAAAAGTGGTATCGGCCCATCACTAATATAAAACGGAGTATACGTGATCGCCAAACTCGCCATAATTATTTATACGGAGAGGTATTTTATAATCGCCTCCGCGGTACAATGCTGCTAAACTACACGCGTTTTCGTCTAATAGCTTTGTCGTATAGTTAATAATGTATTATTATTATTGTCGCTTAAAACACTAGCGAGCATTATAAAATAGCGTGGGTAGGAAGATGTACATACTTAGAACCTGATGAATATTCACGAGTTGTCAGTGTTTGATGACAGCACTTTACAATCACGTCTTTAGTCAAAATCATTTTTAAATTCCGAACGCAGTGAAGAATATGTAGGTTTAAATATAAAGCGGGCTTGTTTTTGAACTATCTATTCGAGTGTCAGTAAACAAACTTTTTTACCAAACATTTTACTCCGATCAAAAAACAACAAGAGAGCATTTTTCTAATGAATTTATTGAATTGTTTGAAGATTTAAGGCGAAATTTATTTAGAGTTTATTTTAAAGTTTACTTAGTGGTAAAAAAAAAGTCCATATGCAATATGATATTAAATTACACGGTTTTTGTTTTTTTCATATAGGTTTATAACTTCCATGGAAAACATTACGTGTTAATTTCTATCGTTACTCGTTTAGGAGATCATTTTGGTAATCAATTTTAATTCCCCAAACGCCCGTAAATAATATCAGTAAACTTTAAATAATTAAATTGTTCAAACAAATCGATTTATAAAAACGACTTTATTATGCACGCACAACGTGTTTAAGAAGAAACAGTTTATCGTTGTTTTTATATTATTAGTTTTTGTTGTAGCTGATCTTTATTAGCTATATCCTATAATAGTAATTTCTTTAACGTTTATTCTTGTGTACGTTTTTAAGTCCTAAAGGAGTCCAATAACTATAGCGTTAATGATTGTTTACAAAAAAAACCATCTTTAGTATGCTTGTTGATAGTGAAAGAACATAAAAAAAAAATACATCATAGAAACATTTTTAAGTACCACGATTACATAACACTATATTATTATGTAAGTGCAGCTAATAGAAAACGTTTTCATTAAAAATCATACTGCTGTGAAAAATATTACTTTCAATATTTTTTTAAAAAACCGCGTTAACTTTATAAATATTACTACTAGCAGTCCCACGTGATTTTATCTGTGCCAGTATTGGAAAAAGAAACGTGTTTCCCTGAAACTCTTCGATGTCATCCCTATCCCTATCACAGTTAACCGTTGTTGACAGTTAATTTATTTTTTAAAGTGTATTTTCTTGCTTGTGACAGCCTAATTAACTAATAAAAGCTATTTTTTTTTTTCATTTTATTTAAACCATATCACCAAGGTAACCCATCAACGAAACAAAAATTAAATTAAATTTTTGTTCCGAAATTTCCAAAATCTTGAGTAAGCCAGTCAAACCAATACATTTCTCAATACGCTCAAAATCTAAAAAAAAAAAAAAGCTGGTGATAGGTGTACCATTATTTTAGGAGGAAAGTTGAAATAGAGGATATATTGTAGTTTCGTTTATATCTATATGCCACTATAATGCAGTTTTAATGAAAAGATCCGAATCTTTCAGAGCAGAGTATTATTATTCTTACTGTTTTTGGTTGCTAAGGAACATTGTTCAAGTAACCCAGAAATTAACAAAAATTATAATATTAGAAATTGTCAACAATAAAAATCACAAACAATGTTTAAAAATATATCATCTTTAGGTAGGATCAACTCGATCAAAAAAAGAAAGTTTTTGATTAGAGCAAGATTTCTGGTAGAAAATTTTTTTACTGACATAAAAAAATAAATAAAAAGAACACATTATAGGTAATAAACCACCTGTTTCACTCAGAATCGAAAATGTTTTATTACAGCCGAACTATCTGCAAATACCTGGTCGAGAAATACGGTTCTACCGGCACCGGGACATATTCTAAAAATCGACTCTATCCGGCAGATTTACAAAAAAGAGCGACAATCGATCACCGACTGGATTTCGATCTGGGAGCATTGTACAGACGCGTATCCGATTATTTCGTGAGTATTCATTATGATAGTATTTATTATCTCTTTTCTTTTCTTTTCCATACAGTCTTTTTTTCAGTTACGAAATTATCGCCTATACGGTGCGTAAATATTTTTTTCTAAGATAATATTTTGACGGATTTACTTTACTAAACTTTAATTTACTAAAGAGACCAATAAGGACACCTTGGTACGCGATAACTGAAATGTTTAGACTTGCATGTATAAATATTGCTCGATAAACGAATGTTTTCTATTATTTGTATTGCTTTTACTAGATAAATACTACCGATAAGTAAGGATATATTATTGTTTACGCACTTGAAAATCAATACCAAGTTTTCACTGAAAATATATGCAAGTTTTTAGATGTCCTCCTAGCTCAAAACATGGGTTTTATAAAAGATTCTGCATATCTATCAGTCAGTTTTTTCGATAAAAATTAATGAACCTATGAAAAAAAATTATTATTTCAGACACCTGTGAATGATTTCACAGTAAGCATGGCAATTTGGAGAAATTTTCGTATTTTACCATTCTTTCAAAAACGACTTTAACGATAATCGTGGTTGAGAGCTGAAACTATTTATAGGCATTATACCTTAACAAGTTTTGTTTAATTATTATTTGGTTTTATAGGAATACAATTTTTTTGACCGGACATAAATGCTTGAAAATTGTATACGAGGTTCATTATAAGTTTTATAAGTGGTCAAAAGAAAAAAAAGTTAAAAACGTAATGTAGTAATTTTTGTATACAATTTTTAAATTTTTTATACTTCGCTCAGAATGTTGGTAACGATTTATCGTTGCATTTACATTTATCAATTAAATAACCCTATATATCGACCTTCCCACCTAAAACAGTGGCATACCCATCAGTAGTATTAGTTTCATTTTTTTTTAAATTTCGTAATATTGTAAGTACCTACTTATTCATTTTCATTTGTGAACTTCATGATTTTTCTCTTGTCTCGTAAAACAATTGTACGATTTTTATATATATTATTGACACGAATGTCGAGCATAAAATTGAGTTGGATAATAACATTTACCAAACGACACATTTGATCCGTTGGATATGAAGTATCTGTATATCATAAAGTAAGTACTTGAGCGTTATAATGTATTGTCTAAATTTCAGTGCACTCTGAAATCGTGGGTCCCCGTAAACGATAGTCGGATGAATATTTTAATAGAGTAGGTAGAGGTATACATAGTAACGAAATACAATTAATGTTTTAAGGCAATTTCGCTTATTAGATTTGACTCCTGTACATAAATATAGCACAGCATAGCAGAAAGCACTCTCACATAAAACGTTTTACGCAAACAGACCTCCGCATTATAATAATAATGTTATTACAGTATGTACCTACCTACCTGCCTGCCTACAATCTCTGGGTAAAATTTAATTTGCGATATGTAAACCCTTTCAATATGCGGGCATATAGAGACACGAAGATAAGAACAAGATTTTAAACATTTTTGTTTGATCAATTTAATTACATTTTTCCTGCTCATGTTTATTTTTTAACATTCAAGCACTCAGATAAATTTTAAAAGACAACGTTATAAAAAAATAAATAACTACACGTATTATTGAATTACTACTGTACTAACATACCTATTTTATGAGTTTCGTCAGTTTTTATTTTTCAAACGCATGGTTTAATTTTAAGGAATACTTATTAAAAAAAATTTTTTTTCTCACAATAAGTACAGTTGAATCATATAATAACATTGAACTGTGTAAAGTAAACAATGTTCGAATAAATTACACGTTGGAGGTACAAACTGGATAGGAAATCCATGATTAGAAAAGAACGGAGGAGACGTGAGACGGGATAATTCTTAAAGGCCTAGAAATCAGAAAAAGAAGATACAATATTCAAATTCACTCGATATTCATGAAATCACGAAATATTCAAATGATGATATACCAATACGAAACATGTTCAACGTTCGTTATTATATACGAATCGCACGTTATATTTACCAATTTATTATTACATCGTATATCCGATAATTTTTCACATGTTCTTTTAAACTACGTGTTTTACAACTAACTGGTAAAAACCCATAGCTATTTTTAAAAAATGTCGAAAACTTACTGTGTGATAAACACTGTAAAACAACTTGTATAAAACAGAACAAGAACTAATTCGTTTGTAATCAAACGAATTGCATAACAGATAAAAATATATTATTTCCTTTGACTGAACAGAACTGAACAGTTTTTTTCGTCTTTTAAATACATCGTAATTTAATATAAACAATTATTGCAGTTTACATAACTATAATAATAAGTACGATAGAAAAAAATTGTTCAGCACCAATCAAATAAATAATATTAATCAACGCAATAATAGTATAACCTTTGATCAATTACAACACGTTTGTGACACACACGGACAAAACCTGTACATGTTTATCTTGTTATGTTTATTTAATTATAACAAGATAAAAACAGCAAAACGAAAAGATTAATTAATTAATTAATTCAAGTGTCAGTAACCGTTGTCAATCAAAATTGTTTTATTTTGAACATACAAATCGTGACGTTCAAGTTGAAATTAATGAGTGTAAACACAAATAATACAATTTAAAGAAAAACAAATTTTCGAGGAGGGGTACTAAAATATTGTTATGCAAGTTTTTGCTTTATTTTCGTAAAATAGCAGATAATATAATATAGCTATAACTTTTTCAATTGGTAATTTTTTAGAACAAATATGCGTATGCGTACTGCACTACTGCCCAATATCGAAATCATTTTCATTATTAAATTTTGTTATCCGGGCGCTTATCGCAGGTCAACCGATTATCGATTCGTCCGAATCTCGAAAATAAGCCCTCTGTGATCAACTGTAATGTCTGAACGCTACAATTTATGTACTAAGTCCATCGTGGCTGACTCGGAGAATATACGACAGGTATACCCACACCACTAAGTATCCACCGCCAAAAATGAACACGTATGAGAACGTGGGGGAGAACGAGGACATTTTATTATTTAATAGTATGTTTTATACTCTGATCGCATTGATTTAAAAACCGGTTGTATGAAACACTTGGTTTTAAAATAGCATAGAATAAAAATGTTCCAATTCAATTATAATTTAAAATATTATTATAAGGTCCTCTTGGAGCGCTATCGGCAAAATATTAAATAAATAAAAGAAAGTCATACAATCGCCCTTCAATACGTGAAAAGCTTCTCGTGTTTAAATGTGTATATTATGTTATCACTATTATAATATAATCGATTTCGATATGTTATACGCGATAAAATATTTGCTTTAATGTTCTCCATTATTATTCGCATTTAGTTCGTTTTATAAACGTGTAATATTTGAAAATGCTATTTTTATAATTTTTTTTTTTTTTTTTTCAAGTATCCAGGTATTCGATAGCCGCCACAATTTACTAAATAACGTAATTTTGTTATTTTGACCGTTAATTAAAGGCCAAGACAGTAAATACGGATATAACATCGGGACACGTAGATAATTTTATTTCAAACCGTATCTACCGCGTGCGTTTTATTCGAAAAAACGACGTATGCACCTACACCTCTGAAACTTCTGTACGGATATACGTCCTATCCATGGCGATTACCCTTACGGGATTACCTAGCGACTACGTCTATCCGTAGAAATGCTCTCACAGAACAACATTTTTACCGTACCGTCGGGATGGGTTTACAGGGTAGGTACCTTACAATATACAAAACGATGTGTATACTATGGAGTTTGTTGCGAATTTATTGCACCAAAAATGTTTTCTAAAAACAAAATTGAAAATACCTACTATACCAACTGCAAATAATTTCAAAACGAAAAAGAAAAAACCGCATGCATATTAAATCAGTTGAACTATTATTATTACTATATCCAGAAAAAATAATAACAATAGTTGGCCGTTGTCGGAACTTATTTCGGATAAATTTGAATGCAGCTTGTAGCAGATAATACGGCTGCCTGCAACGACTCCACGAACCAACGAAACGAAACGTGTCGGTAATTTAAATTTCCCGCGCCGCTGTGTATCGAAAATACGCAACGTGAATTTTAATACTACATAAAAAATCCCATCCTCTTTATCGTTTTAAATTTCGGACCAAAACTTTTCTCACCCCAAGGGTCGTTTGATTGTCGAGCATAAAAATTGTAATATATTATACGGTCTTGCGTCATATTTTAGTAAATAAACACACGCCTTTGAGATGTATTAGTTTTACTATGACGTGTTTGTTTTTGTGCGTATGTAAACACATTTTCTACCAGAAATCTTATTGCGATTTTCAAACGTGTAACATCTTTTCCGAAAGTTCAGTTTTCTTAATAATCGGGAAAAGCTAGTTTAAACGTATAGGAAAAACGGAAAAACTTACGGCCATAACAGCATAGGTGTAGGAAGTGGGGCCTAAGGGGGCTATAGCCCTCCCAAAATCTTTTCTAGCTCTCTCGGCATTTCTTACAGTTTCCCCTGTAAAATGAACAAGATTTTCACGTTACCTTTTTTTTCGGATTTAAAAAAATGTCAACAGAAAGTTAAAATATTGGAGTTACTATTGGTGAATTTACGAAATTAAAATATAATGAGAGTTCAGCATTTTATTGAACAATATAAGATAAAGTATTTTGTTGGATGATAAAAATGATTTATTAAAGATTCTGAGTGTAACGAAAAAGCTATTAGTTATAAAAAGATTTGTGTTTTTGTGGTTATAAAACATGGTTTGATTTTTATCATACAATATCAATAAATGTATATTTCCGCCTGATTTTACCGTACTTTTTTTAAAATGCAGTTGTTCTAAAAAATTGTTTTTTTCTTTTCTTCATAATCACTTTTTTGGTTACACAAATTCTTTGTTTTTTTACACATGGTACCTACTTAAATAAATCCAGAATTTCTGTAAATTGGTGGATATTGCGATACTTCAACACATTTGACATAGTTGGTTCCGTTCGCCTATTTTGATTTTGTTTCTTTATGGCCAGCTCTTTTGTACCAAATGTCAAGTGCAGCATAGATTTTGAAGGGAAATTTTATCCAATATGAATATTGGGAGATGGTTTTTTTAAATGATTAGGGAAAACGAATAAAGTTACGGAAATAACAATTATATTATTTTCGATTTTATGTTTTTGTTGTAAATCGGTTAAAAATAATCGTAGAGAACTGTAATACTTACAGAATACTTATGGAAATTTTCGAGCTTATTTTATTAGGTAGTTCAAAATATTATCATCTTGAGAAATGTTGTATGAATAATATTATTTCCTTTATTATACAGACTCCGGCGTTTATGAGCGGACATTACGGAACGGCGGCCTTGCCGAAATTGAACGCCGCTCTAGAAATACTCGACGCGTACTTGGCCAAAACGAAGTGGCTAACTGGACCCGAAGTAACCCTTGCCGATATCGTGGTGGTAGTGACGATTTCGAGTTTAGAGGTGAGTATACCTACCACGAATACAATAATTATTATAGATCAAGCGGCATATTATGGTTTTATTTTTTTTTTCCAAAAATCAAAAATCACTTGTCGCTTCTATAATTTAATTATAAAAACTGTTTTGCATGGAGGAAAAACTCCACGGACTATAGAATTAATAATTAAGAAATCTAATTTCCACTATAAATAAAGAAGAGCATATACTGTGTGACGTTGATTATTGTTATTAAGTTGTTATTGTTTAAAAATCTGATAATTTCTAGTTTTATAAACTCGAATAGTTAATCGTGATAACGAAAAACTAATGCCAATATTGCACCTTACAAGTTCTCTTTGTTTCATTGTGAAAATTTGGTTTTTTAACTAAATCCACAGTCTTGGTAGTTTTTACTCACGTAAAACGGTTTTTCGTAAACATTTTTGTTAATTACACGTTTACGCAATAAATACTTGTAAAAATTACACGGGACCAGAAGCGGCACCAAGGATGGGGGATGTTTTGGTTTTCTGAATACCCCGCTATCTGTGTTTCAATAAAGTCAATTTATTAAAAAGCACTACATAGATTTGATAAAATTTAATTTTTACAAAAATGCCAAGATAATTGCCTATACGCAATACCTAAAACACGAGAAGTAGCACCTTCGTAGTGACATTTGGATTTAATTGGTACAATTGAAATCGGCAGTAGATTGTAACTTGCACATGTCTCATAAAAGTTAATTGTTACTATACGCAATTCCGATAAACGTATGATAAAAAATAAACGTTTTTAAGTTTTAAAATTAAAGTTAGTCTATAAAATAATAGTTCGGGAAAACGGTCATTATTGGCTTGACCGCGAAAATTGCTCTATCGTCGTAATAATATTATTACCACGTTTGATTAACGTTCTAATATTTGTCTCGCCTTCTCCACCCATAGTTACATCCGTGTTCAATTGCACGTCCTATAACCGCGACGTGCGTAATGTTACGACTTATTGAACGCGTTTATGACGCAATGATAATACTTCAATAAGTTTTATTTCCCTGATTAATATCCACCGAGAATGCCAAACTAAAAAAAAAACCCCTTATTGTATTGTGATCGTATTTTGTTTGTCTATTTAGATCGTGGGATTCGATTTGAACGCTTACCCCAACGTACTGAGATGGTTCGAAGATGCGCGAAACACGCTGCCGGGATACGAGGAAGCCAACCACAAAGGAACGGTGGAATTCAAAGAGTACCTGTTTTCCAAGTTGAAAAATAATTAAAATGCAATCGATTTATAAACCAGCCCAAATAATAATTCTATAATCACTGTATTATCAAATTTATTGGTTCACTACTAACTATACTATTCCGAAAAACTTACAGCGTGAAATTAGAAGAAATAAAAACAAACTAACTTGATCACTTGAAATTTTTTTTGTTTTCCAATCCCAATAAATAATTATCTGTTTCTTGTTTTTTTTTTGTTTTTTTTTTTTTGTCCTAATTTTACACTTTCTTTCTTCTTTTGTACATTTATACAGTACTTGGAGATATATATGTTTCCCCATGTTTTCTATCCACGCTATATTTTATTGCAACTTCCTCGAGTGAATTTGTTTAAATCATCTTTAACTCTGTCTTGACTTTCTTTAATTATCTTCCTACCAAAGTTGTCTTCAAAATTCCATTTGATCATTTTCTCATATGGTAGATGATTATATTAATACCGGAATTTCGGTAGCTTCATTGAATTTCTCTAATATAGTTTTTCTGTACACTTCATTTTCTAAAACCAGTCCATAAAACCGTTCAAGTACTTTTTTTTCAAAACAAGACATTTTTTTGTTTTTTGTAATTATACAATGTAATAAGTAATAACAATTATGCATTATTTCAAAAGCATTTATTATTTTCTATTTCATACTGAACACACCAATGTATAGACAAAAATTTATTCAAAATTTATTTTAATACTCAGATGCTAACAGGTTGGGGTTATCTCTACATCACATACTCCATCACATAGTTATCCACATACTATAATATAGACAATTTTATGAAGACTCAAAGTTAAGTTTACTTTTTTATTGAAAAAACCATTAATTCATTTTTGACTTAGATGTGTGACTACGCGACGAGTAAATAACGCTCCACTAAACCAAAGGGAAAACATTTTCATATATCATATTTTAATCGTTGTCGTTTACAAAGTCGAAAAGAAATAATTACTACGGTACATCTAGAGGTCTGATTCGATTTTTCACAATAATTTGACCGAAGTTTTTATTTGCCAAAAACTTATCAAATTATCCGTGGATTTTACAAGTATATAGACATATACACAATATACGTATCTACAATCAATCGAATCCGGAATTTTCGAACGAACGAGTTGTGACTTGGTTTAATCGAACGTTATATATATAGTGAATGGTTTTGAAACTTGATAAATAAAATGTACTTGGTAGTTTTTTTTAACTTGATTTGACCAATTTCTCAGTTCGTTGGTATATTTGATGGCGGAGCGATGAGAAAATATATTTGTATCGTCCCCGTGGAATGGAAACTTATAAACGGTCCAAAAAAAGTTAAGCATTTTATTTGATTATATAAATGTATAGAAATAGGTATGATGTGATATTACTTCAAAAAGAAAGAAAGTCTAGGTATCTACGTTAATACAGCCGGATAAGAAAACTGTTTAAAGAATTCACGAGCCTATAGCCGTTTCGTACTCGTTTTGGCCATCTTTCCATGATGGACGGAACTATCCATCCCAAAATTCATTCTAATAGGAAAATAAGTATACCCAAAAGGTTTGTGCGCCAAGAAAAAATACATTTTTATAGCAATCAGTTTCAAATTCAACTTTATTTTTCACTCCATGTCATTTTATTAGATCTGATAAGGTCCGATCGGTTCAAACGATAACTTTTATCATAGAAAACCTAAATAAAATTTGAATAATTTCATTTCTGATTCCGATCGGAGTGATGGTAAACACGACGGTTTTCATTTCGGTAAGTCCTTTCTAAAAGGCGCCTATAGGACATAAGTAGAGTAATATGTTCTCAAAAAAGTATAACAGTCAAAAACGCATAGTCGGACACATTATGAATATTATACTGTTTCTCGTGTCCGGAAAATCGTATACAACCTAAAAATAAGAATAATTTACAGCGTACCACGGTAATGGTTTTACAGTCGAATAAAAATTCGTTAATCTTCTTCGGTAGAATACTATTCAATTCATCGCTGTATACAAGGTAAACATTTAAAAACCGAAAGAGTTAAGAATCTAAAACAAAATGATTCGTGTTTGCCAAACCTACGTTCACCTCAATATACGGTTTAGTGTTTTCTTATTTTCTTGACAGTACAGACCACTTAGAGAACATTCGACAGGTCGCGGACCACCTTGATTTGGGGTACATTTGTTTTCTTATAAACAAAGATCACTTTTATCCAACCGAACTAGTTGTCTATGTAATTTATGATGAATTTATGTGATTTTTTTACACTTGATTCAGAACCATTATATGAACGTTGTCACTTGTATTTAACCGTTTTCTCTGGTTATTTTAATCATGAGTAGATTCAAAAATCCATAAATATAGTGTAGAAAATACGGGCGTATATCAATTCCACTAAAATAATCGCTTTACCTGTAAAAAAAAATGTATCTACTCTGCCGCGACATTTGAATATATTGATTTCGCCGGCTATACGATTATTTTTACTTGTTGATTTCTTTCCTTTTTTAATTTGTTTATTTGATAATAGGAACAATCGTTCACTAACAATTATTTCAAAATGTATTTTGAATAAACTGGTAACACGGTATAACAAAAAACACGCAAAAAATTACAACCGTTACTAATGTCTACTATTTGAACACCAAACCCTATTGGAAAATGTAGACTTGTGATTTTATTTCTGATTTCTGGTTTTTCGATTAAACTTTTATTTAATGCACAGATTCCGATATGGAACCAATGAGCGACGCGTTTATACGCGATAATGGAATAAATATGTATTTATGTAAAATACATATACCGATGTTTACGAATTACGTATGAAAATTATAATATAGATTGAGTTTTATGCGCGTTTTTTAAAGATTGAGTCGAGTTGCGTGCCCGATTTTTTTTTTCTAATATTAGATTCTGCGAAAACCCTTTCTGTTAGAAATACTCTTATTTTTTGATTTTCAGAATTAAATTTTTAAAACTTTAAATGTTTTTACTTAAACAAAGTGATTGAATTTTTAAGTAAATACGATTTACACGTTATTCAAATATTTTTATTTTTTATTAAATTACATTATTCTCTCAATACTATTATTTGAAAATGAAATTTATATCAGTTAATAATGTATAGTTTTTTATTTTACTTGATATCTATTTATTTATTTATTATTTTTTTTTTTTTTTGTTGTAGATGTTCGAAATCGTTTCAATGTCTTACTATTGACTAATCGTCAAAAGTTGTAAATCGTTGAACTGTATGTACAGTTTACTTAACTAATCATAACTAATCACACGCAACTCGACTCTTTTACAAAAAAACCACGCACACAACTCGATTATCAACCAACATAGCTCTTTTTTTGGCACGCAATTCGGATGCAGCCGAGAATATACAGAGTGATTCAGAATTTACGTTACAGCTATTTTATCATATAAATATTAAAAATAGAGAAAAATGTATAGTTCACAAGTTTTTTGATTTATAATCATCTATAATAATTTATAATATATTTTTTTGTCTTTTTTGGGAGGGAGTTTAAGAGCCAATTTTGAAATTCAAATGGGAACCTCTATATATATAAAAACAATTCCACAAGTTGATGTAGTGTTAATTTAAATAAAAAGTATGACAAATGACAGGTTTACCCATAACAGGTTACGAAGTACTGCGATATTCTAGAGCGTGGGCGGTATTTTAGAGCTATCGCAACTACGATTTACTCCTTTAATGTAAATCAAAAATGCCTGGTTTGGCTACTGCGATTGCCACCGGTGATTTTTGACCGATCGCTGCAATACTGATGTCTGACACTATAATATGATCAATTGCGGTGGTGTAAATTTCAGTTATAAGTATCGGGATCAGTGGCATACACAAGAGGGGGGGGCTAAAGAGCTGAAGCCCCCCCCATTGACCATATTAATATATATATATATACATACAAATTTGTTTATATTTTTTAAATTTCAACTGTAACAATGATAAATAAAGACTTTTTTTTCATAAAATACACTATATACGTAAGTAAATAGTTTAATTTAACACCTCTGTCTCTTAATAACCTTACTGTACTACCATATTATCGCAAAATAAAATTTTATTAGATTTATAAAATTATTATTTTTTATTAATTATTTCAACTATGGTCACACTCGTTTTAAAGTATAAACAATGGTTTTGTTATTATTACAACTTTACTGAACTATAGTTAACAAAAACAATTAACGCATCGTTAAGTTAGCTCACGGATGTTGTAGATAATAATAATATAACCTTTAATTAGTGCAAAACAGTTAGGAAGGTATGTAGATAATTTTGTTTTCACTTATTTCTCTTGGGTATCAAAGTAATAATATTTTGTAAATGTATTCCGTTTTTCATATAAAACGTATCTCATAGTTTTGCACATTAAAATAACTATCTAATTATTCATTATAGCAGAAAAAAGATCGAATTTTTTCAACCGTTAGTTAGAAGAAAAAAAAAAGGTAGATAAGTATGAAATCCACAATTTATAAAATTCTAATTTTTATTGACTTCTGACTTTTTTAATCCTCTAATAACTTAAAAATTATATTTTACTGCCCAACATTTTCATAGTTACCTAAATATTACTTTTTAGATTCTGAGTTTGGCGAAGAATTTATTGGTTTTAAAAAGATGTAATAAATTTTTTTATGTAAACACTTTTACAACCAGAAATCTTACTTAGATTATCAAGTATAACATCTTTTCTGAAAGGAAATGTTCTCTGGGTGGTACTTTAGAGAGGTCTTTTTTTGAAATTCTCATTAATATTCGAGATAATGAAGAAAACCTGGATCTTTAGGTTAGACAAGATTGAAAAATTAAAAATAAGGTTGTGCATTGGCAACCGTTTTTATTTATTTTTTGTTATTATTAAGTTTTTATTCTTTTATTTTTTTTTAAACAATCATGTCCGTCATTTTTTAAAAATTGTTTTGCGTATCTCTATTTTATGTTTATTATCAGTCAAAAGTGAGAATGCACCTAATTTTGTTTTCAAATTTGTAACAAGACATTATCAATTGTCAAGTCCCCTCCATTGAAAAATCCTGCGAGTACCATTGATCGGGTTAATAACGTATACATATATTTAATTATTATAAAGAAAACCGGACGTACTTCACATCATGGGTAGCCAATAGGCCACTATTTGTATAGTAGGTAGGAAGTTTGAAAAATATAATATTATAGGGTAGTTTATCGTGTTTTATTTCCCCTTATAGCCAACATAAAATCGCCGTATCGACATTTTGTTGTTAGTTTTTTTAATATTTTGTAGAATAGCTCTTGAGAATTAGTAATTTGTTTCCAATAAAGTGCTGACTGCGAGAAAAAATTCCGCATTATTTTAGGTCGACATGTGAAATATGTCAAGGTTTTTGAGGAAAACTTGAAAAAATAATATAGAAGTTGAAATATTTAATATTTCAAACGATGGCACCCGAAATATAAAAACCTTCCACGGTCCAATCGCACGACGGGTGGTTCGCGAGTAACACACCCCGAAAGGGCTTACAATAATAATGTTTCGCGTTACCATAACGACACGACGACGGTGTGTGTAGAAAACAATTATTGAGAGAACAATGTATCCATGGAGGTGCACTTAGGTATATACCTTATTTTACCGGGGTTGCTAATGAGCGAGTAAAAAACTTCGAGGTCGATTTTCGAGAGCGATAAAAAAAAACCCAAAAATGTCGGAAACTTATAGGTAATACAATATGAATAGAGCAAAAAGAACGATCGGTTACCGAGCCAATAAGGTTTCAATAATAATATCGGATACCTATATTTTGCGACATTGTGATATCGCAACTATACGGAACCCGTAAAAAAAAAACTCACAGCAGGCATACACCACGTGTTAATCGTCGTACATTATTATTATTAGGCAAAATATTTAAAATTGTGCGTTTATTTTTTTATGGATCGGTTGCGAAAAAAAAATATCTTGCCTGCCCTAGCGCGATTTTGTATAAAAGAAAGAAAAAATGTATCTTCCATATAGATACCAAATCTAGGTAAGATAACAAATTGATATGTACATTTTTATTTAGTATTTTAATATTTTTTTAGATATCTAATTACATGTACCCAGTGGTAGCGTGAACGGGGTTTTAATTGACGCAGCTGCATCACGAAAAAAAAGGTAGGTGGGTGTTGATGTTTATGGTTGAGTAGATACAAGATACTTGAGGTACAGTGTGTATTACATTACGAAAGACAATTTATTCTTAAGATTAAAATTTAAAAATCAAAAAAGTTCACATGTTGATCTCTGATTTGGTAAATGTTTTTTATTTATTTATGTTTATTTACAAAGGAGGGTGGGTTGAAATAATAAATGCATGCCACATCTGAGTGTATCTACCTAATAAACTTAATTATTGATACTTTATTACCTTTACACACCAGGTTCGCTTATAATATAGGCCCTATATTATTATTTTGATAATAAAAAAGAAGCTTATCAGGTATGTCCCTTTCAAATCTACCTACCTACCTACTACCTTAATATAAATAACTTATTTATTTTATATTTCCTCTCCTATAATCAATTAATTTATAACGGTACTTAGTTTTTAATCTTTAAGTATTCTGTGTCCTCAGAATATAGATAGATTTTGCGAATGTAAAAGATGATGTTGATGTTGTTGATGATGAACTTCAGCTACTTAGTGAAGCATCCTGTAGTTGTAAAATGAGTAATGTCAAGAATGAAATAATTATCCAATACTTCATTAGCAGTGACTTTTCCTAACAACTTAATTATTCTAAGGATTCATGCATGAAATACCATGCTCAAATGCAAGTGGTGAGTAATTCTCTGTCCTCAAGCTAATTACAAATTACTAAAGATCAACACTTTGATACTACAGTGTATTGAAAATTATATTATTGGAAATATGTATTGGTCTCACATAATTAATTCATTTTTATCAATTAAAGTACAAAAAAAAAACGATTTTACATGAAATATTACTATTTCACCTGAATTCCACCGATAAACGCAATATTGCCGAGACTAGTACTTCCCGTTGTTCGGCCGAACACTTCATTTGTTTGTTTTAATTGCTTACTTAGTTTTTTTTTTTAATAAAAATATGTTTATCAACATTCGAGCGTAGCGACATTGGAAAAACGACAGATGGATTTTTCACTGTGAATATTACATATTATATTATTTTAAGTAGTCACGTACTTAAGGCAAATATTAAATTGTAGAAAAATAAAAACTTTACTTTTTAATTCAAAGTTTTGTGTAGTTATGTATTAATGCAACATGTATTCAGTATTGCTATTATATATTTTAATCATTAACGCATTTCTTTGTTGCTTGTGATAGTTATATGGTGTTTCACTTAGTCCTTTAGTTCCTATAGACTATAAGATTATTAACATTTGATTAATCATTACGTATATAAAACAATTTTATTTTATTGTGCAATGAAATCATTTATGTTTGGACCCTCCCCCTCTTTTGACGAATCCTGATTGCACCAATGAGATGAACTGTTTGATTTTAACTGTGTGTTATGAAAAGTACCTACTTTAATGAATTAGTAAAGTATCAAACATCAATTGTTAAACATGTGGAAAATATGATGAATTTCAATTTTTTTTTAAATTATAATGTTCACGAGGAATTTAAACTAAATTTGTATTTTTTAATAATAATAAGAAATGATTATCGTAAGATTAACTTATATATTCTTAATTGCAATGCCTTAAAAATACGTTAAACTTAAGAGTCTTCAACTTATCTAGGTTTTTGAGTTTTCTTGTAAATTTGAACAACACGTGTTTACCTTTTTAAATGTAATATACTTTTTAGGACAAAACAGCTCATAGACGAAAATGGATTTTTAGGACGAACTGTAGCTTTTAAAATACCACGTACAAATAAATAATAAAAATAGTGTATATTATTATTTAAAAATGTTTTTAAAAGTAATAATATTATTTATGCCATCGTAGAATGCGAATGAAACCAAATAAAGCATAGGAGTAAAAACAAAAAAAAAAAATACATAATTTAATCGAATGAAATGCGTGTAGTACTGCTGTAGTGTGTAAACAATAATACAAATTATTATTTCTTCGTCAGATTGTCTACCATATTTCTGAACCCATCGGCTCCCTTCTGATTGACTTCGTAACCAGGCAAAGTTGCCTTACATTTTTCCAACCATTTAGAAATGTTAGCGTACTTCTTAAGTTCAACGTCGACCGACTTAAAAAAAAAATAAATAAAAAATGAATAATACTGCGCGCGCGTTCAACATGATATGCAAAAGAAGTATTCTTATTATAACATACCTCGAAAGTTGAAATGGAAGCGACCAAAGCCAAATCGGCCACCGTAACGTTATCGCCCGCAGCCCAATCAGAAGATGCCAAAAATATTTCCAAAAACGCAAGAGCGTCATGGATTTTTTTCTCTTTTTCGTCAGTTTTGGGTACTCCGGCAAATATCCACGGGTACTATAATAAAGGTACAATAAAAATAATATATAAATATAAGGCACAACAGTAAGTATAATAATGCAGGATCACGGAAATCCCGTTCGCGAACCCTCCTATCAACACATGTTATATGTATATGCGGATTTTCTCAATTTTATATGTCTATACTTTAGTCCGGAAAAAAAAATCGAAAAAATAAAACCGGCGTAAGTGTATTGTAATATTATTTTCTTGTCTGCAGTTTGCCAAATATTTCCGAAAAACTGTAGACGAAAAATAGGCATCGAAGATAATATTGTATACCTACGCGGTGAGAACGTATTTGACGATTTTCACTGACCCAAAAATCTAAAATCATAATAATTGGTGTATTACTATAGTAGCCACTCACGTATTGATCGGCAAAGGCCGGGTACAAAGTGCCGAGATCGAACTGCAATCTTTGGTTGATCACCGCCTGCTTCTTCGGGTCCTTCGGGAACAGCGAGTCGTCTTTTCCGTACACTTGGACCAAGTACACGATGATCGCTCGGCTGTAACAATTAATCGAATTCAATGGAATTTAATTTTAATTTCGCAATATCGACTTTCAAACGGCTTTTACCGGAACCAACTATAATTTAACATTGTAAAGTCGCGAGTTTATTCGAACAGAAATAATACGCAGCAATAAAACGTCATCGACAAATAGATCGTTACGAAAGTAATATTAACATTTTGTAACTTACGAACAGGTCACAAAAAAATACCCCTATATTATAATGTTATTATTAGCTGTCGGTTTCCCTAGCGTCACCTGAGGTTATATTTTATATTCGTCCCGATTTTCTATATTGGACGGGAAAACGAATCAGTAGTTTCATCACAATCCGAGGGGACTTTTTTAGATACTTATTATGTAAAAAGCTCTATCCAGATAGCCGTACTACGACCTTTGGCAATCTAAATATAGTGTTATAAAGGACGGTATATATGTAAAATAATTTCCATATAATACCTCGATATCGTTTGAAACCGTTCCTTGGCCAGAATACCGTAACAAGGTAAAATGAAAAAAATGAAAAAAAAAACTAAAGTCTTTAAATTGTAAAACGTCCGGTTCGATTTTATGCGTGTAAAATACTTTTCGATTTGCCTTAAAAGAAATCCGCTATTCGTATTCAGAGGACATGATTCAAGTGTCAGGTGTCAATCCTCCTGACCACTCCTTCAGTGATACATGTATTAAAATCATTCCTTTAAGTGACGAGAAGTAACCAATTTTCAGCTTTCTATTGGAGTTTTTTTTAATTTGGATCTTCGCGTTTCGTGTCGAATCATATGTTTGCGTACTTCTTTGGATTTTTATAAAATAATAATTAATATGAACGTACTTCTTAACGAATTCCTCGGTGTATAAATTTCAAATGCGCTTAGAGTCACGCACAAGACCCTATATAAAATATTCGGTCATTGACTTTGGGCGACTTTTGGGCCTAACCACTTCTAGGTAAGTCCAATAAAAATATTTTTCCAAGTTTCAAGTCTCTACGTGTATTTATAACTGAATAACAGCAAACAAACTCCCAAAAATTAAAATTCATTAAAAGTTCAAAAATGGCTCAACATTTTTATCGATGACACCGTAAAAACTAAACCAAAAATGCAAAAAAAAAGGTGTTTTGTGATTTTTTGATTAAATCATTTTTTCTGGTAAAAAACGTCGTCCGTGTTTTTATAAAATGATGAAATCGTGAAACTGTACGTTTTCCTACGTTTTTTCCCACTTTAGTGCTTTTATTTAAAAAATGGCATCGAAAATCAAAAAATGACTTGTTTTAAGTACAATCTAAACAACTTGAGCTTTTAGAAGAGGTGCTACACTTATACATCGGAGCAAATTGACTAGGAAAAACGTACCCACAGTCTAGAACAAAGAAAAAAAATAAATAGCATTGTAAAACCACTAGCTCCCTCGCTACGCTCGGAATCTAAAATATAAGAAACATAGCTTGAGATTCTGGAAATTATTAAAAAAAAAAAAACCTTAAAAAATATTCAACAGAAACAGTTGTTTCATTTGTCCGATTTCCGAGACACCCTGTATAGGATCGAAAATATAATGCTACCAATATTATATTAAATAATATGATAATTGAGTACATTCGTCGAAACGGTTTATCTCGTTCGTAATAATATTAATGTACATCGCACGCAATACGAAAAAAAACAAATTCAAATCATTAAGTGCATAAATATTAACCTAATTAATATTCTTATCGCTGACCTAACGGAAACCGGACAAATATTGTTATTATTCATACCTACACGATATTGTTACGGTTATTGTGTTATAAAAAGTGTAGAGCTCGGATGTTGAATTACAAAAATGTATTTATTCCACACACACTCCGTTATTTGTGAGTTATTTTTTAGAGTGTGGCGACGGAGTACAACGACCATGCAAATCCGAAATGACTTTTTAATAGTTTCGAGTAAAGCAATAAATAATGCTACGTAAGGTGATGCGATAATAATGCAAGTCCGTCTACTAGATACAGAACAAATAGTAGGTAATCAGGATTTGTCTGATGTAACCAAAGTCCGGGCGAAAAGGAGACGAGTCCCACAAACGGATGGGTTTTCTTCTATCTTTTAAAAAAATTCAAAAAGAGGACTTGGCTTGTTGTTGCACCGAACCCTTCCTTCAATTATTTTTTAAAATTTATATTATTCACGCTTATTTCACATTATTCGAAACGTTCAACGTCGACAATTTCCAGAAAATATCTATGGTCGATTCCGCACAGTCCTTATAACATTATTATTGGATATCTAGCTAAAGTAAATGTTTCGCGCATATATATATATATATAGCTATTTAATCAGTTTTCGGTTCGATAAGTAATATCAAATAACGACCAGTTTTCCTTCACATTTATGTTTCATTAATTATTTTTAATTAATAAAATAGATACTAGCTGTATTACCATGTCAGTAGTATTGAACGAGGGAAAAAAAACAAAAACGGGTCTTTCCTTGGAAACAATAATTGATTATATGAGTAGTAAAAATAAAAATAGTTTTTCCCCGTGTAACCATTGGATACTAGAAATAAACAAAAACAAAAAAAGTGTAATGTTCGTATTTTAAGGACAACGTTCCGGTGTGAGTCTCACTTTAGAGGTTGAATTCTCTCCGTTTAAAGCACTCTCCGAAAACACTCCTGGAACTAATAAGAAAAAACCGTGAGATATTCAGAGAAATCGGTCACAGAATCCAATTTTTAGTCAATAAACCATAACATTTTATTTTATATTGTCTCAATCCTCAAAAGGTGCAGACCACAGATATCTGTGGAGCTTCTGTATAGATATATAAAAAAATATTAATATTAGTATATCTCACATTAATAGACTTCACAAACTACTCGCAATAACCTATTTTTACGCGGTTTTTTAAAAAATAATCGCGTTGTCGGGGACATGATTTTAGCTATTTTAATCTTTTTTGATTAAATCCAATTTTTTTAATGGTAAACTACTAATAACAAATCAATCGTATGGACACGATAACGCAAATAATAACATTTCAAATTTAATCGTGTGAATTGTGATGGTTACTACAGTAAATAAACACGCCTGTCATTTACAGTTGTTTATTTAATCTGAAAATAATTGTACTCACCTCTCCCATAAAACCAAGTCACCGTCCACTAATGTCGGTACACAATGTTGGGGGTTAAGCTGTACATGAAAAAAAAAAATCATAAACGATTACACCGACTGCGCCGTTAATGTTAATTTTATTTATGTAAGCTTTACCTTGACGAATTCCGGTTTTAAATGTTCGCCGTGGTGCAGATCCAACGGCTTCAAATTCAGTTCCAAGTCCAAAGACTTGGCGGCCAACAAAACGGCTCTGCATGGCGCGCTGCCCGGAGTGTAGTAAAAGTCGATAGGCATTCTGAAAATAAATCGAAATATTATTCATCGAGTGACGAAAAAGATCAATAACGAACGGTGAAAACTGTTTTTAACGAGTCGATTATTACACGAATAAAAACAAACGGGTTTTGTTGACCGCGTAACATTTGACGCGGGTATCGCCGGTATCAGCATAATTTCATCGCAATGGCCCACTGGCAGAGACCGTCGAATGTTCGCGTTTGAAAACATATTCGGCGATTCGTAAAAATAAACGCCCGTTCGCGATGTGCAAACGAAACGAGCGAATTTCCGACTTTGCCGAACACTGGCGCGATAATTCAAACGTGTTTTCGTTCCGAAATGGCCGGTCGATGTGGCGAAGATATAAGAATGATATTTCGAAAACAAATGCGAATTTACTCGTCGAGTTTCAGCAGCGAGATTAATGAGATATCCCACACTCCCTCTTTGAACTTTTTTTCTAGTATCAATTATTTATATGAATTTTTAAATTCAACTTTTTAATCAGAAAAATCAAACATTTTATGTGTCAACACCTATAATATTAATAATAATGTCAAAAAATAAAACCGCCAACGGATACATTTTCTCACTTAAAAGGAAACCTATAGGATCCAAACCACTTTGATTATAAAAATAACCTTCTGTATATTATTTGTGCCTAATAAACAGTAAATTAATTAATACTTATATCACTATATAAGGTATAACTGATTATTTGATTTAAATTACAATGTAAGGCAAATCGAATTATGAATTACTTACAAGAATATAAAATTGATTTTTTTTTTTAACCCTGATACGCATTGCACAATACGACACGGTTTTCAAATTCAATGTCCCCCCTCGTTGACGAAATCCTAAACACGCTACTGTTGAGTCTGTTCAATTTATCGAGATCGAGTTTCTCGAATTTTAGATTTCATCCCACTAAATTCGAAAGAACTACACAATAGTAGTATATCTAATCAAAAAAAATATAACAGTATTTTTTTTTTCTATTTCCTGTGCACGAGTAATAAAATTCGTTACATAATAAACCGGTTACTCTCGTTCGGTAAAAATAAGTTTCGAATAGTTGACTGGGCACCTAAAAATAGCCGTTCGATATTGCGCAAGTAACAATATCATTTACGTGAAACGATATTCGTGTGGGGTTATAATTGCGCTCAGTTAATAAATAGTTTCCTGCAGTATGATTAATCATTTCGGATTCCTCGGAAACCTTGCGATTTCTGTGCGTAAAAAATATTTTACAGGCTGGATACGCGTATATTATTACGCATTAAACCAGCCTAATGGCGCGGCATGGACAAGGATGGGTCCAAGGATAACTCCCGGGTACCCAAGGAGAATTCCCACCGAACGATTAATTTGTGCACGTGGAGTGTTATTCGCGTGGGTATTTGGTCGAGAATTAATAATAATAATAATTATGATTATTACCGACGTCGCCGTCCGATGATTTTTAGAGTTTAAAACGAAATAACGTTTTCGACAATAACTGTTCGCGGACGGTCGACGAGTACAGTGGAAACCACCGAAAACTACACGGAATTCATATAATAAGAACGTATTATTGAATGAAAAAAAAAATGGTTATTGCGATAATAACGACGCGGCTATTAAAGAACGATTTCGGATAAAATGCCGAATTTACATAGTTATGACGTTATTTATAACAATCGATACCGTTAACGTAATGGAGTACCTATTAATTTACAAACTTGGGCGCGTGAGACTTCACCAAAGTTCTGATTGAATGAGTCGACAAAGTCATAACTCGGTAAAGGGAATTTGTCCAGGTCGTTTGTGTTTCATATCAGTACATGATGGTGTACACACTATTTTCGTATTTATTCGTACGAGAGTAATTATAAAAGTATTAGATTGCGGTTTTAGATTCCGAGTGTTTATAGCGACGGAATTATTATTGTTTTACTAAGACGCGGTTTTTTTTTTCCCACGCCGTCCTGAGACTTATCGCTCGGCGGTATTTTATTTGAAAAAAATGTCTGCATTCGATTCCCGAGAGTTTTTCCGTAAAAATTATAAAAAAAGAAAAAAAAAAAGAAAACGATACATCGTTTTCGTCGCGAAACCTTCGTGGATTTGTTATAATATTATACTCTCGGTCAACCCGGTACACAACACGGGGGGAGGGAAGAAGGAAACACGAATATGTGCGCTACTACAACTACGGTAGTTTTTTTTTTTTTTTATCTTTGTAACTGTCGCGCAAATACGCCAATTCAAACTATTGGTACACGATGCACGCGAACCCGTGTTTGGAAACGTTTGGTCGGAAAAATGAAAACGGCCGACGAAAATAAGGCTTTTACAATAATGTAATAATAATTGTTGTGCGCCGAATTTTGTCCCATACATTTCCGAATACGGTCGAACGAATCGGAATAATAATAATAATTATTATTGCGGTCGGTTGCAGTGCGTGAATACGGTCGAAAAAAACGACCATCCGAGGTCAGAATAAACGGGCGAACCGCGCACGGCCTCGAGTACACGTAACCACTTTCATTTCGCCGCCCGGCTGTTTGATCGTCGCCCCCTCCTCCCCCCCCGTCTTACCACGACGTCGCCGCCAAACGCACAATGACGCTGCGGTATTTGCCGTCTCAACGAATGCGTAACGAAGAAAAAAAAAAAAAATCCTGCCGGAAAAAAAAACCGGATAAACTCAACGCGGTAAAGGCGTTTCGGTTATCCAGCGGCGGAAATCGGCCTGTGCAAATAATACAGCGCTCGCGCCACCGTACGGTTGAAACGCGGTGCAAAGTTGTACTTTTGCGCGCACCGGAACGTTTTGAAAATTTGAAAATTGTACTGTTCGAACAATGCAATAATACATTTTTGTTTGTAGAAAAAAAAAAAAAAAAGGAGAAAAAAATGTCGAGAAAGTTGGAGTGTCGGTGGATTGCGAAATTGACCTAACCTACGCCACCAGGAATCGAGATCGATTTACGCCACTGCGAGTACCTATTTTCTTTTTTTTCCGTTAATAATCCGTTATTAGCGAGACGTTATTAGTTTCGTTGATTTTAGAAAACATACAGATAAACGCAAAATTATGACAACAATATAGAGAACCCGGGTTATCTGCTGGCGCGGGTGCTATCGACGTCTACGTGACGTGACAATATATTGCTTATTATAAAAACCGCGTTTTTGCGGGTACCCGCTGAAAACAGTTACTGACGAAACGAAATTTGATAAAAAAAAAAATAATAAAAAAGCCAACAATTTACCTGAATCGGCGGGATGACTTCCGGGATAATGAAACGCACGACGATGTGGATAAACGAATATGAGCGTACAATATTTCGTCGACTGACTGTCGTTGACTGTTCGAAGCCGGCGTCGGCCGGCCGGTTTTATTGTAATATCGTTTTCACTGCACCGGTCGTGCCCCCCCTCCCCACTCCGACGATGATGACTCACGCACGCAAAGTGCTTTGTGCCCGCAGCAGTCTGTGTGTTAGTTTTTTGTTTTTTTTTTTTTTTTAAATCGAAGTCATTATAACGCGATATTATAATATATTACGGTCTCGCCTTATGTTGTGTCGCCCCGTGCGCTCCCGAATGCAGCACCGGTGTATAGTGCGCTCGGTATAACCTCCACTGAAATTGCAATACTACTTTGCGACTTCGGGCGGGGCGATCGGAATGTGACAATATAATATTTATTTACTGACTACGGGGGAGAAAAAGAAAAGAAAAAAAAGGGTACGGTCTTTCGTGTCGTAGGTACGGAACAGTCGCTAAGTGCACACGCACCGTCTGGCCGTACTCGGTGTACAAAGCGGCGTACCTATACGTGCACATGCCCACCTTTATATGTACGTATAGGTAGACTGCTTTGTGGGCATAACCGTTTTAGACCAAAATCGTACCCTTCCCTTTTAGGCCGATTCACTTCACTTGATATAGTAATTGCATTTTTAGATACAATTTGAAAATGTAGTGGACCTGACTTACTGACAAATTCAAACAAAATATAATGTTTTTTTAAATTATAAGTAGGTGTAATAAAATATAATTCTATTTAATCATAATACATGTGTATACAGTATACGTATTTTTAAACTATATGTAGTAGATATATTACATGTTAACATAAAAATACATAAATAAATCTTTTTTATGTGTGTATTATAAATTAAACTTTCGTTTTGAATATTTTAAAATTTTCAATACGTATGACATGCTTAGTAACTTGGTATTGTTTTGTCTTGGCCGAAAAGGGAAGGGTACGATTTTGAATTTTGGTCGAAAAGGGTATTGGCCGGTTTTTAATTTTAGCCGTAAAACGAATCGACCGAAAAGAGAAGGGTACGATTTTATTCGAAAATGGTCTCGTCCATAAAGGTACTCACGTTCGGTTGACGTGGTTATCCTGTACTAATGGTGCAGGCGTACTTTTTTCCCTTCGGCTTTCCACCAAAGAAAAGTTATTTGTACATAATATATATAATATACATTAGGGTAGTCTAAATATATATATATATATATATATATATATATAGGCTTGAGATTTTCTTGAAAAATTAAAAACGACTACCCCTCGCCCAACCAATTGTTTTAACTGACAAGAAAGAATAATTTTGTGAAAATTTTCACTGGATAACTCGCTCACTCCCCGTGCCGATTAGTTGTTTTTCAGATTTTTTTTTTTTCAATTATTTCTAAAACTAAAACATTTTAAATTATGGAAAATATTCTATCTTCGACACATGTTAGAATATTAACTTCGAAAAATGTTTAATACTAATTCTATTAAACAGATTGTGTTATATAATAATAAAAAATATTTAAATAAAATGTTTTTTAAAACGTTTTGTTTCACTTTTATTTAAAAAAAATTGGCTAAAGATTGAAGACACGATGAAGTAAGTTAAATAATATAGAATCACCTTAAAAAACAATTCACAAATATTAAGTATAACTTACATAGAATTAAAGCTATTTATTCAAAGTTCGATTTAAGAAATTTACAATCTCCTTATGCCGTAATTTAATATTTTTTCAGCACTACAGAAAGGGATGCGTTGTTATCGAGTCCGAATTTGCACAAAACTATTTTTTTTTTGTAACTTGAAGAAGGAGGATGGTAAACATTTTTAATTCCGTAAATAATTAATGCGATTATACAAAGTCTTACAGATTTCATGTTAATATCAAATTTTGTATGGCGTTCTTATTTTCACTGGCGGAAATTACAAATTTCAACGTCAAAATGTATTTAAACTAAAGCATTATGTATCTATTTGTGGAACTTTAAATAGAGGTTGCTATTTGGGTATTAGTTTTACCTCCGAAAATAAGAAGAAAATGTAACATTTTAGTCATTATTTGAAAAATAAATACTTCATGAAAAATTTGACTGTACCGTGGAATTTGGAAAACCATAATATTTAAGTACGTATTATGTACATTGTTTTCCGATATTTGACCGTCTTTTCGATGGAATAAACGCTCGCTCAAACGGTGTCATATTTAGTACTATGAGACCTTTCGTCCAAACATACCACGCAAATGAATGGCCTTCGGTTCGGGTTTTGCCGTTTTTGGCTATATACGTGTGAGTTCACAGGCGGTTATTTTCGATACACCTATAATATAATTATATTAACAATAATATAATATAGAGCTTTGGTATCAGTAAAAAAAAAATCGATGGTACCTACGTAGATTATAACCTTAGTCACAGAATTCAGTCAGTTATTCGCACTTATTGAAAAGTTAACTATGTAAATTAACAATCATTTTACAAAAAGGTACGTCACTATATGAAACGTGTGTGATAAAAGGCTAATACTGCTAATGGATGTGCCAATGTTTTAGGAGGGCAATTGAAACTTTTAAAAGTAGCTGGAATATAATGTAAGTAATATAATAAGTAGAGCAATATAATTTAAATTCATACGAAACGATAAACTAATGCTAATGAAAACCTATTCTGAACGGAGTATTATTGGTCGTGTTTTTTCCCGTTGTTGCCATGGTAACTCGACAATGTACGAAAAATGTACAGTTTTTCCATTTATTAATAAACCATCAAGGAACATCCGAAAATAACCTACAAAGACCAAACAAAATCGATAATTCTACAAGAAGATCCCTACAAAGTTTTTGATTGAAGCAAGATTTCTGGAGGAAAAATTCGTTCACAAATATATAAGAAAAAAAATTGTTTAACACACACACACACACACGGCATAGTGAAACCGATACAGCTTCACTCAAAATGTAAAAATGCCAATACTGAACGGTTTCTGAACGTTGTTTCTTACGTCACCTTTGAATATTGTCTATGTTATCGCCTGCAGTATTACTTTCGAACCAATTCTGCGGCAAACGACGTACCTGTACTCGCAGTAAAACGGTCCAAAGTTAACGGTCGGTATTAGATTTCGTCCGATAATTGAACGCGTGTATAAATAAAGGCGGGTTGAAATATGACGAAATCGACAACGTCGTCGTATCCGGCCTATTCCGGGCCGTCGATTTTGATCCTGCCCAAACGTTCGAAACCTTTATCGCTAATCCGCGACGACCACGCGCACGTCTTATTATCGCACCGTTTTATCGATCGGACAGAATAGGCAAACTCTGTCGTTATACACCGCGGGTGCTCTACAGCACATATACAGGGTCTTCCAAATTGTGAGTAACTGCAGCGGGAGTTTTTTTTTTTTATATATATATATCTTATTTAATAACTCGATAATATTATGCGAAGCTGAACAGCACCTGGTTAAAAATATAAACGTCAAGCTGTATGTTACTTTTTTCGATAACCTTTCACTTCACCTTATAGTTTTTCCAAAAAATAGTAGCGAGTAAAAACGAAATATTTTCCATCGTGAAATGTATGCCGCAGTCGTGTGAAATTTGAAAAACCCTGTACATACTCTTATTACAGTATATACGCAGACCAAGGCCGCGTTCTTGTTATCCGCCGAGACGGAAAAATAAACGGTTTCGTGTGACCCGCGCGAGCCCACGCACATATAAACGACGTGATAAATCCGTACGGGGTTTATCGCCCGGACATTTTGTCACACGGTGTACATTTCCTGTATAGGAATATAGTATAGCCAGGTACTTTCACAGGCCGTACGATGTTTTCGATATCTGAACACCCCATAAACATTTTTCCTTTTAAAAAAAAAAAAACCGTTCAAAAATAAAAAAAAGGGGAAAGATTATTGTAAATTTGCAAATAAATCGATAGTGACCGGTTTACGTCGTTAAGAGGACGCCCGCATTCTCATATGATTATCTCGGTCAAACTGACCGGCAGAATAGTAAAATCACGTAAATTAAAACGTAAACTTAGGCGTTTGGGTTAAAATCAGAGGTTAAACACGAATAAGAATAACGAAATGTATAGAGGAGAATATTTTTTTAGTAGTTTTTTTTTTTTTAAACTCGTGATAAAAAAAATATAGCCATGTTACACTACAATTGAGTACAACAAAAAAAATCTACGTACACCCTTCAAAAATATTCTACTTTTTAAATTTTGTTATTTGTAATTAAACTCTAATTTCAACATAAACGCCGAAATCTACGTTATACGAAACGTAATTTTGCTATGTTGCTCATTATTTAGACGGACGCAGTAGCCGCGGGTGTGGCATCCTCTTAGAACAATAAAAGTAAATAATTATGATAATCACGCCTGTAAATTTTCGTTGTTGTTTTATTTTATTTTTTTGATTCCGTCGTTTAAGAAAATGAATTCGGTCGAAATTCATATCTTTGAATACTAAACGGGTCAGGGCATAATATAAATGAACGATTTCGTGAATACTTCGTGCTTATGCCTTTTTTTCCATTAGATTTTAGTCAATCTGGTCTAAATTGGCATTAAATATTTTTGTTTAATGCATGACTATGGTTTCGATGAAATTATTACTATAATTATGTACTTATTATTTTCAGTTAGTAATTAACTAGCGGTTATCTACTTTTACTGAACATTACAACAAGTGGCGTAACATCGAATTACTCTTGTGTGCTAATGATATCTTTGACAATCTATTTATTTTGTGATTTTCTGCATATTTTTAAAAGATTATTACTAAATACAATGTAAATATTTTTACATTTTTATTTTAAAAATTTTTAAAGCATATTACGCCGGATTTTAGTGCATAATTGCATGCATAATTAATAATATTTTAGTAAGTATCACAATGATAGTATTTTTTTAAATCATTTATTTTCAAAACTATTTTTTACACCTGTACTTATAATACGACGGCGGCTGCGACGTTGCAATAAATTTATGTACAGGGAAAACATACGCAACCGCGCGTAATCTGTCCGCCAGTTTATGCTGTT